ACGTTGGTGATGAAGCCCGGGGAGAAGACCTGGTGCAGGACGGTCTGCGGGAAGTGGCTGAGCTGGAACATGGACATGAGGATGTTGACGGTGGCCAGTGGGGAGCTGCCGGCCTTCTGCTCCAAGATGGCCTCCAGCTTGGGGAAGAGCTCGCCGTGGTTGGAGGGGCGGTAGTTCATCCGGCTGAAGGGAAACACCAACTTCTGGATCACCTGTGGCAAGAGAGGCGTGTGGGGCCAGGCTGGGACAAGGGACAGGTCAGGGCCACCTGCCCAGTGCCATGAAAAGACGGAGGCTCAGAACCTGCCGGGAGTGGGGCACAGCCCCTGGTCCCCTGGAATGCCCCTCATGATGGAGAGGGGCCACGGCTCCCATGCCCAGGTGTGCCCACAGGTGGAGGGAGCGCTCACCTTGCTGTCGAGCTGCTCGCCGCGCTTCAGCAGGAAGTTGGCGATGGTGTCGAGCAGCCGTGGCTCGCGCAGCCGGTGCCGTGCCACGTACTTGGCGATGAGGGCCATGGTGTAGGGGGTGAGGTTCTCTGCCTTCCGGGGCAGCCACTCTGCCGAGCCAACACAGCGGGGAGGCTGTCACAGGGGCCAGCTCTGTCCCCACCCCAGCTGCTCTGCAGCCACCACAGCCTGGCCAGGTGGGGTGGGAGGACAGGACCGGACAGGAGGGCCAGTCCCAAAAACCTCAAAAGTCAGGCAGCTAAAAATCCTCAGGTATGGGTCAGGTGAGAGGCTGAGGCAGACTACACCCCAGCTGCTCTGCAGCCACCACAGCCTGGCCAGGTGGGGTGGGAGGACAGGACCGGACAGGAGGGCCAGTCCCAAAAACCTCAAAAGCCAGGCGGCTCCTAAAAACCCTCAGGTGTGGGTCAGGTGAGAGGCTGAGGCAGACTGCTGTCATACACAGCCAGAAGGCACAGATGGAGCACAGCTGGAATGTGCACAGATGGGGCCTTCTGCAAAATCCCACCAAAACTCCACTGTGCCCAACCCCAAGGCACTGTGGGAAAACAGTCCCAGAAAGAATGGGGGGCTCCTGATCCCTCCCAGTGCCCAGAGGAATGGGGGGCTCCCATTCTGTCAAAGGGCCCAGCTGTCAGTGACAAGGGTGGCCATGACACCTCGTCCTTCTGCTCCACTTCTGGGGCTCAGCATGGTCCCAGCTGAGGCTGCACCACCCAAACATGTCCAGGGCCAGGGAAGGCATCTGCGAGGCTGCCCCCCACCCGGCCAGAGGCCCCCATGTCCTCTGCCTGACCAGAGCCCTGCACCCCCAGTGCTGGTGGCAACGCTGGATCCCCCCGGGCACCCCTCACCTGCCATGCTGCGAATGAAGCGCTCCTGCCGGTTCTCGTAGAAGAGCTGGGAGCTGAAGATGGCCTCCAGGGCCTTGTTGTTGGCCTCCTGGGCACACAGGGCCAGCATCTCGTCCAGCAGCGCCAGCTCGTGCTCCCTCATGGCGCTGACCTGGCCCAGCGTGTGCCGCACCAGGCGCAGGATCTTGCGGTTGTTGATGAGCTGCTGGTCGGAGGTGGCGTGGCCCTGCAGCGCCTGCGCCCGCAGCCGGTAGTAGGAGAGCAGCAGGAAGAGGGTCTGCGGGTGCCGCTCCTTCTCCAGGTGCCGCTCCAGGCTGCTGAGGCACGACTCCACCAGCGGGTGGGGGCTGGAGGGGTGCAGCCGCATCACGCTGCTGAACACCATCGACACGTCCTTCTGGTTGAAGCGGCCCAGGCGGCTGCGGGACTCGTCCTCCAGCACCCGCACGAGCGGAGACTCGCCGGGCAGCCCTGCGGGGGACGGGCACAGGCACGGCTCAGCCCCGGGCACGGCTCAGCTCCACGGCACAACCACCTCGGAGCTCGGGCAGGCGGCCACTGCCGTGACGGGATGGATGTGCTGGGTCAGTGACCGAGCTGAGAACGGGAAGGGAGGGGAAGGCAAAGCACCGAGAGCAGCAGAGCATCCGCACCACGGGAAACACTGCGTGGGGCTGTGGGGCCATTCCCACCCGTCCCACTGGGGTGGGAGCCCTGCAGCTCACCCGCACTAGCAAGGGTCATTTCCTAAGTCTCAAACGTCTCAAAGACAAGTAATCCATAGAATCCCAAAATCTCAGACTGTTTTGGGTTGGAAGGAACCTTAAATCCCATCCAGTTCCACTCCCCTGCCATGGGCAGGAACACTTCCACTAGACCAGGTTGCTCCAACCTGGCCTGGAGCACTTCCAGGGGCTCTGGGCACTCAAAAAACTCACGTCAAAAAGTTCATTAAAAAAAGTTGTGGTTGGAAAACAACTGTGACATCCCATGTGACCAAACTAAACCCTGTTTGTTCCAGCAGGGACTAATCCTTTGGCTTTTCTGACCTTCTCCTGTTTCCCAGCTCAGCTTTAGCTTGTGCGACCTGGCTCCCAGGGAAACACTTCCCTGCAGCTCAGGACGTGTTATCCAGGCCTGGGCACAGGCTCAGTGCCTTGGCTGTCAGGAGGGATCTCCTCAGCAGAGGCAGAGAGCACTGGGGGGGCCTGGAGCTCCCCATCACCCCAGGATTTGGGCGGGCACAGGCCGAGTCACTGCGGGTTACTGTTAATCAGAACTCAGCTGGGGGAACGCGCAGAATTGGTCTGAGCAGCCGCTTTGTTCCGTCAAAAGGCCTCAAAAGAAAGCTGGAGTTTGTGTTAATGAGGGACAAGGGGGCAGAACGAAGTGGGGGGCACAGCAGAGCTGTGGGGGGCCCAGCACGGGGAGCCTGGCCAGGGCAGCTCCGGCTCCGTGTCAACAAACACCGGCGCCGCCGGCCCGGGCTGCGGGCAGCGCCGCCCCTGCCCCGGCTGGGGCTCGGGTTACCGCGCCAGCCCCGGCCCGGCGGCTCCACCGAGCCCGGCCCGGCACGGCTGCGGGGAACGGGAACAGGCACAGGATGGGGGAGCCACGGGAAGGAGCGCAGGCACCCGCCAGAGCGTGGAATCCTGGAATTGTTTGGGTTGGAAGGGACCTTAAGGATCATCCAGTTACAACCCCCTGCCGTGACCAGGGACACCTTCCACTAGACCGGGCTGCTCCAGCCTGGCCTCGAACACTTCCAGGGATGGGACAGCAACAGCTTCTCTGAGCAACTTGTGCCAGGGCCTCCCGACCCTCCCAGGGAAGAATTCCTTCCCAATATCCCATCTAACCCTGCCCTCTGGCCGTGGGAAACCATTCCCCCTTGTCCTGTCCCTCCAGGCCCTTGTCCAAAGTCCCTCTCCAGCTCTCAGAGCACCTCCGTGGCCTCCTCTGGGCTCTCTCCATGTCGTTCTGCTGTTGGGCTTCAGAGCTGGAAGCAGCACTGCAGGTAGGGCCTCACCTGAGTGGGACAGAGGGGAAGATTCCCCTACTGCCCCACTGTCCACTGCTGCCCTGCTGTGCACTCCTCTTTGGATGTCAACCCCATCCCCCTGCTTGCAGCAGGAGAACTTACAGGATCACCCCAGCCCACAGGAGGAGGAGGCTCTGGGATGCAGCCCTCCCTGGGACACAGCATTCCCTGGGGATGCAGCATTCCCAGGACAACCCCAGCCCACAGGAGGAGGAGGCTCTGGGATGCAGCCCTCCCTGGGACACAGCCCCTGGGGATGCAGCCCCTGGGGATGCAGCGTTCCCAGCTCAGCAGCCCCCCAAGGCAGCTGCACAGGAACCCAAGCACCCCAAACCCTCTCTCGCACACAGCAACGCCCGGTGACACAGGGCTTGTGCCCTCCAAGAGTGCAGCCACACCCAGGGTGTCCCCCATCAGCGCTCAGATGTTTCCTGGTTTTCAGGGCTTGGAACTCAAGCTGCAACTAGACACGGCCCAGGAGTGGGTGACACACACCCTGCCAAGCAGGGCTGCCCAGCATCGACCCCCAGGTCAGCCAGGGACACTCGGCCTCCTGCCCTGGCAGGGCAGAGCGTCCCTGCTGAGCTGAGCCCCCCTGCCCAGAGCCCCCTGGTCACAGCTGTCTGTCACAAGGCCACGGCTGCAGAAATGCCCGAGGCAGCGCCGCGCTCCCCGCGTCACCCGGGGCTCACCCAGCGCGGCCGCGGCGTACAGGCAGTTGACGATGCTGAAGTTGTCGAACTTGGCGCAGCCGCTGACGATGGCCTGGCAGAGCACGTGGAACTCGGGCTGCTCCAGCACCTGCCCCGCGGGCCCGCGCCCGTCCCCGGCGCCCGCGGGCGGCCCCGGCTGCTGCTGCAGGAGCTGGCCCAGCTTGTGCAGCGCGATGGGGTAGTGACTCGCCGACACCTTGCCCGGGTTCTGCGTGACCCAGCGCAGCACCTCGCCCACGCTGCGCGAGCGCTCGATCAGCCGCTTCATGGTGAAGAAGGTGTCGTAGCTCATCTTCTCGTGGATGAAGTTCCAGCTCTTCCTCTTGCCGTGGGCCCGGCCCCGGCCGCCGTCGGGGGGCACGGCGGGCAGCAGCCCATGGCCGTAGGGGTCCAGGGGCAGCAGCAGCCGCGGCCTGGCCTTGCCGGCGCAGCAGCAGGCGGGGAACATCGCGGCACCGCGGCGCTCACGGGCAGCCGGGCCCCGCGGGCCCGCCCGGGTCAGAGCGCGGAGCCATGGGCACAGCAGCGGGCACAGCATGGCGGGGGCGGCGCCCGCCGCCGCTCAGCGCCGCCGGGACACGGGCACGGCCCGGGAGCGCAGCCCCGCCGCCATCTTCCTGCGGCCCCGCCCCGCGCGCGGCACTTCCGGGGCGGGGCCGGCGCGCGCTGCATGCAAATCAGCGCCGCGCCTCCGCCAATGAGCGAGAGCTCCGCTGAGAGCGGGGCGGTGCCACCGGCGCAGGCGCGCTGCGGCGCTGCGGAGCGCGTGGCGGGAGGTGCCGGGCCCCGCCCCTCCCGGGGCCCCGCCCCTCCCGGGGCCCCGCCCCTCCCGGAGCCCCGCCCTCCCGGGGCCCCGCCCCTCCCGGTTCCCGGTCACACGGCCCCGCCCCGCCCCGCGGCGCAGCACAGCCGGGACGCCACGGCCGGTCACAGTCTGTCCGCTTTAATCGGAACGGCGGCGCGGGGCGGCACCCCCAACACAGCATCGGAACCCCGGGGAGCGCAGCCGGCACCGGGACCGCCTCGGGGCGGAAATCCGCCCCCGGCACACGGACCTCAGGAGCGCGTCCCGCCGGCACCGGGACCCTCGGCACCCCGGGGCTCATGTCCCTGGGCAGGCAGCGGGAGCAGCCAGGCCGCATTCCCGCGAGGAGAAGCTCCCGGGGCACGGAGAGCAGCTCGGGCAGGCCCGCACCGGGGGATGCTCCATGCAGGCACGGGGCACCGGCACCCCCGAGGCAGCTGAGCCGCCACAGCCGCTGTGTGCAGACAGGGCCGGGCGGGCGCTGCTCGGGGCTCTGGGGGCACAGTCCGGGGCCAGCCCCCCTTCAGGCGCCGGGCAGTGCCCCGGTGTGCCCAGCGGGCTGAACGCAGAGCCCCGCACGGCCCGGGCGGGCGGGCGGGCTCTCGGTGTCCGGGCGCGGCTCCGGGTCCCGGTGTCCCCGGGCGGCTCCGGGCCGCGCTATCTGCGGTACATGGCGAAGGCCACGAAGGTGACGAGCAGCGTGAGGCCGGCCAGGCAGGTGGTGGCGGTGGCGGTGAAGACGTGCCGGTGCTGCAGCTGCAGGTACCAGAGCAGGGCCAGCAGCAGCACGAAGAGCGGCAGCGCCAGGCTGCCCACGCCCAGCGCGGCGGGCGCGGGGCCGCGGGGGCCGGGGCTGCCCGGGGCCGCGGGCGCCGCGCTGGCCGGGGACAGGTGGCAGTGCAGCACGCTCAGGTGGCCCAGGTGCAGCCCCGCCAGGCTCTGGCTGTCGTCGCGCAGCAGCTGCCCCTGGTAGATCAAGCGCACCTGCTGCTCCTGGCCCGGGAAGTAGGTCCTGCAGGAGACAGGGACAGCGGTGACACTGCTGAGGGGACAGGCCCTGACCAGCTCCTGCGCCCGCCCTGCCCTCTCACCCACCCGAGCCTGTGTCCCCATCAGCCACCCCACGCGTCACCTGCCATGAGTGTGCCACCCTGCCCGCTCACCTGTGCCCGCCCCGGCTGTCACTGCAGGGACAGTCCCCTCTGTGCGCCCTGCCACCGCACCCGCCGGGACCCTGCCGCCCTGCCCTGCCCTCGCACCCGACTGTGCGTGTGCGTGTGCGTGCCCACCGGCCTCCCCAGGGGTCCCCTGCCGCCGCGGCCACCGGGGCACGGCCACCGGGGCACGGGCCACTTGTCCGGGAGAGCGCTGTCCCCCGGCAGGTGCTGCGGGCCGCAGCCTCACCTCTTGAGCGCCCCGACGGTGTCCCCGGGGCGCACCCGCGCCAGGCGCTCGGTGTCGGGGCCGCGGGGAACCGGGGCCGCGGCCGCACCGGGCCGGGCTCGGGCCGCCATCGCGCCGCTTCCGGCCGGGCGCGGGGGGCGATGGGACTCGTAGTCCTGGCTGCAGGAGCCACAGCGGGGCGTGGCCGCCGCGCGGAGCACGCCGGGAGTTGTAGTCCCGGGCCGGGCCGGGCACGCCCCGTGCATTCCCGGTTACTCCCGGTGCACGGGCGCTCCCGGCGTGATCCCAGCCCCTCCTGGACACTCCCGGAGTCATCCTAGTAACCTGCAGCATGCTCCCAGACACTGCCAGTGTGGTCAGTTTTACCCCAGCGTGGGCCCTGCTGCTCCAAGCACGATCCCAGAATGGTTTCAGTTGCTCCTAGCGTAATTCCCATGAACCCAGTTAACCCCAGTATGATGCCATTGGTCCCCAGTGTAGGTCCAGTTGCTAGCAGTCCCCCCAGTATGGCTGCAGTCACCCCCAGATCCTCTGGATACTGCCAGGTTCAAATTCCTGCGGATGTGTCCCTTGGGGACGTGGGCAGTGCTGAGGGTGGGGGGGCTCGGGCAGCTCTGGGAGTCTTCTGCCCTCAGTGATTCTGTGAATCCCCAGGAGTGCCCAAAGCCACCTGCAGGCTCTGATTAAAATCTTTTATATTAGGTGAAAAATTCTTAATTTTAGATTAAAAATTGTTAATTTTAGGTGAAAATGTCTTAACTTTAGGCTAGAAATTGTTCCATTTAACTGAAAGATTCTTAATTTTAAGTGAAAAGTTATTAGTTTTATGTCAAAAATTCTTACTTTTAGGTGAAGAGGTCCAACCATGGAAATACAGCAACGGGGATGGGGGAGGTGGGAACAAACTGACTCTCCCATAAAGGACAATTGTGGGTGGGGGGGAAATTCTGGCAGCAATGTCCCCTGTCCCCAGGGTGTCCCCTCCGTGGGTCCCTCACTGACACTTCCTGGGGTGAGATCAGGAGGATTTTCTCCTCCATTTTATTTTTCCTGGGTAAAAAATCAGGATGAAATCAGGATAGAAGCAGGAGGCATCAGCGTGCTGGGGCTGTGCCGTCCGTCCCGGGAGGGAATTCCTGGTTGCCGTGCCGGGGTTCTGGGTGGGTGCTGCCCCTGGGGATGGGGGGCTGCAGGTGGGGCAGGGTGGAGCCCGTGCGTGCCGGGGCTGCCGAGGAGCCCAGCCCAGCCCAGCCCGGCTGTCACAGCAGCGACGGCACACAGCAGCACCTTTACACTGATCCCGCGGGCACGGCGCCGGGATTTATCCCTCCCCGAGGCTGGAACGAGCCCGGATCCACTCTGGAGGGGCTGTGTCTGCTCAGATTTGAGGTTTATCCAGCGGTTCATCCCCTCCCCGATAAATCCGGTGTCTGGCTGTCACTGTGGATTTGTCTGGCTGCAGCTCGCAGAGAGTGAGGCGTTTCCATCCTCCCAGCCTCGAGCTGTTTAATATTCCCTGACAGCACTTCCCCAGTGCCACCAGTCACCCTGTTTCCAGGAAAGCTGAGCAGCCTGTGCTCCCTAATCCTGCTGCTGAGGAGCCAGGCGTGCCGGCGTGCCGTGCCCGGGGCTGCTCTGGGTGCCCTGCACTCTCAGTGCCCTCCTGAAGGACGGGTGATGTGAACTGCAGCCAGTCCTGGAGCTGCCCTGCCCGGGCTCTGCAGGCAGCGCTGGGGTGGTCCCAGGGGTCAGCAGGGCAGGGACCCCGGCAGTGACACCCAGAGGTGTCCCAGCCCCTTCCTGCAGCTCTGCCCTCCTGGGCACGGGGGAACCCGGCTGTGCCTGGTCCCTGGGCTGCCAAGGCAGACCCTGAGGGGCTGGAGCGCCCAGGGAATGGAGCTGGGAAGGGTCTGGAGCCCCAGGAGGGGCTGGGGGAGCTGGGAAGGGGCTCAGCCTGGAGAAAAAGGGGCTCAGGGGTCACCTTGTGGCTCTGCACAGCTCCTGCCAGGAGGGGACAGCCGGGGGGTCGGGCTGTGCTCACAGGGACAGGACAGGAGGAAACAGCCCCAAGTTGTGCCAGAGGAGGTTTAGGTTGGATGTTGGGGAGAATATTTTCACGAGAGGGCTGTCCCATTGTGTTTCTGCCAGGGTTCACGGTCCCCTCCTCCTGGCTGCTCTTTAGTCCCCATTTCACCTTTCCTCAGTGTTTCTCCCCCGTGACTGCACTGAGCCCCCTCCTCTCCCACAGACCCTGCTGGGATTGTTGTGCCACAGAGCCCAGGGGGTTTAACCCACCCCGTTCCCCTTTCAGCCTCCTTTCCCAGAGCCCACGCACTGGGACAGTCCAGCTGCTCCGGGGCTGTGACCAGAGGGGGGTCACAGAGGGGCTCTGCCCCACAGGGGCCCTGGGGACACTGGGACACTCCCCAGACAGGGATGTCACCGTGGTGACCCTGGCTCGTGCGGAGCAGCGCTGATGGGACCCAGTGCCCGTCCCAGAGGAGGCTCCCGGGCCCGTCAGTGTGCAGGCAGACACCTGCCGTGGCACAGGTCCAGGTGTCACCAAACCCCCGGGGTTGAGGTGGCAGTGGCATCGCGGGGGTCACACAAGGGACACAGACAGTGTCACCCCACGGGGCCAGCAGCCGTGCTGTGTCCTGGGCACGGCGAGGGGACGCGAGCTCTGGGTGGGACACCGGTGCTCTCTGCCCCCCGAGCTGTGCCAGGCCTCGGGGCAGGGCACGGCGGGACGCTCCCAGCGCTCAGCAGCGGATTTTGGGCTGGCACCGAGAGCCGCGTGCTGCGGGTCGGGGGGATTAACGGTGCAGCCGTGCTGCAGAGCCAGATTAGAGCTGCAGCTATTCCGGGAGAGCTGCTGGCTGAGCCCAGCCCGAGAACAGCCCTGTCACGGCATTAAACACCTCTCTGATGGCATTAAACACCTCTCTGGCCTGAACCAGCGCTGCCATGCCGTGATGCACCGCTGCCTTTGGAACAGCAGCCACAGCTCCGGGGAGCACAGGGGGACAGGCAGCCCGAGCCTCCCACAGACACACGGAGTTTGCTGCTCCCCTCGCTCTGGGAAGGGGAGCAGGGTCCCCAGCAGAGCCCCCCAGCTGTGCTCTCAGCTCTCCCAGCAGAGATGTCCCCACAGAAAGAAATGCCCAGTTTTTATTGCAGAAGTGATCAAGCACCTCAGTGTCCCGGGGCCCTGAGAAGCCAGAAAGGCCTGCAGAGCCCCCGGGACCCCCCTCTCTGCCCACTTTGACTGAAGCTCAGCCCTGGGTCTCTCCCCTCAGCTCTGCTCTGGGGGTGCTGCTCCCAGCCCCACATCCTGGGGGGATGTTGTGAGTCTGCCGTGGGGACCCTCCTGGTGCCCCCGTGGGCCCGGCACTGTCCGGTGTCACGGAATGGTCTGGGTGGGAAGGGACCTTCACACCATCCTGTTCCATCCCACGCCATGGGCACCACAGGTACCAGGGTGGCTGCTCTGGGGGTGGGAGCAGCCACAGGAGAAGTGGGGGAGGAAGAGGAGGAGGAGGAGGAGGAGGCAGTGGAGGAGGTGGCAGCTCCTCTTGGCAGCAGCACCGGTTTGAGGCACTCACGAACTGCAGCGTCAGATGGGAGGGCTGCAGATGGAGCAGGGAAAGTTCAGGATCTGAGGGTGAAATCCATCCTGAAAAGCAGTTTACATCTTCAAGTGGCCTGTGTCTGCAGCAGGCAGGTGGTGGCCATCCCTGAGGGAATGTTTGCTCCTGGAAGCCTCGGCTTGTCCCCACGCGCCCCTGCCTTTTCAGCATATTGAACTTCTCTCCTGGGTGTTCCCATGCCTTTGCTGAGCCCCAGCTCCATCTGCTGCTCTGCAGCGCTCCAGCTCCAGCTCCAGCGCTGGTCCCGTGCTGCCCGGGGTCCTGCCCCACCGGGGCTGGCAGGGCCAGGGCCCCTGGGCAGGCTGGGGCTGGGCGATGCCCCGTCCCCATCCGCCGTGCCCTGTGCCCCGCGGGGTCTGGGCTGGGGGCACTGGTGGCACAAGGAGATGAGAGCTGTCAGCTCAGGGTGGCTGTGAACACCGCGGGGGCACGAGCAGCCACATCCCTGCCAGGGCAGGAGGAAGAGGAGGCAAAGGAGGAGGGGGCAGAGCCCACCTGCCAGGGGAAAGCCACCATGACTGATCCGGGCTGCTGCTTCAGCCAGGTGAGGGTGAGGGAAGGATGAGGGATGAGGGATGCTGTCCCACCCCTCACCAGGGATACATCCTGGAATCCCTGACTGAGAGGGTGGCCTGGTGGAGGCAGCTGCACCTGGGGTGTCTGGACATTCAAAGGTGCTGAAATGGAGACAATTCATAAATGTTTATGTGATAACTAACTGAGGGCAGCATTTAGTGGGATAATGGGGAGAAATTCTTCCCTATCAGGGTGGTGAGGGCCTGGTGCAGGCTGCCCAGAGAAGCTGTGGCTGCCCTATTCCTGGAAGAATTCAAGGCTGGGGCAAGCTGGCCTGGTAGAAGGAGCGCCTGTCTGCAGCAGGGGGTGGCACTGGATGGGCTTTGAGGTCTCTTCCTACCCAAACCACCCTGGGATGATGATAATGATGCTGATCGTGGTGATGCTGCTGCTGATGATGATGGAAGAAGATGGGAAAGGCCATGAGCAAGGACCAAGGGCCCCAAACAAAAAGCAGGCTGGAGAAAGGCCCTTGCACAGCCAGGCACTGCTGTGTTGGGTGCTGGCACGGCCTTGCACTGCCCATGTGGATGTAATCCCCTCAGACAGGTCAGGGAAGCTCCTGCTGAGCAGAGCTGTGACCGACAGGTCTTTCAAAACCCTTTGGAAGCCTTGGGGAGCACGGGGGGTGAGGGGAGCCCGGTGCTGTAACAGATACAGATTTTCTAAATGCTTTCAAAAAACCCTCATGAACGTTGTTTTCTAATAACCCCTTCTCGTGGCAGAGGCAGTTGGGATGCACTCAAGGAATCCCGGAAGGGCACAAGAGGGAGGGGGAGAGGGCAGGGAGGTGCTGCTCCCACCCACACACCCAGCACCCACTGCCGACTCACAGAGGATTCCGGAGCCGGGAGGCATTTAGAAACTTCCCAGGGATCTCTCCTCCTCCTTTCCCTCCTCGCTGTCCTCTTCCTCCTCCTCCAACGCTTCCCACCATCACCCAGAGAGGGCAGAGGGTGGGAACCAGCCCCCCGCTGCCCCCTGAGCCCCCTGGCACCGGGGCATTGCTGCACACCATG